TCATATTTTTAAAGACGTATTCAATTTCGTATGCTGTAAAAGGTTGTTTAATATCAATTACAAATGTTTAGCTGTATTTCTTAATTCAGTTTGTTCTTCTGTATCTGTGTCTATGAAGTCATTTGGATAAAATGTTTCGGCAAGTAATTCTGCAGATTTTCTTTCTGTAAGGATAGTTCCATCTATGTCTCTTAGTCATTTATCTTCTTCTCTTTTTATGCAGTTCTTTATAATTCTGTATGTTCTTTCCCACAGGTTTTCTTTTTCTTGTTTAGTGCATAGAGTCTTCCAACTTTTGGTTGCTGCTTCTTCAATCATACTTTTATATTTTTCCTTGGCTTCTTGATATTGCTCAATGACGTACTGCCGCCTTTTCGGGTTAGCGTTTCATATTCTTCTTCTTCTTCTTATCGTCTCTTTTTTCATTTCAGTTATTTCTTTGCTCCACCAGATTGCTGTTTTTGCTATTTGTTTTGGTTTTTAGGTGGTATTGCTTTATTACATGCGTCTATAATACTGTGTGTATAGCAATCGACTATTTCATTTAAGGTCTCTACTGATCCGATCTCCCTTATTACGTTAACTTTTATGTCTCGTCTATTTAATTCTTCTTTAACTTCGTGAGTAAATTTTTTCCAATCTGCCTTTGCGGTATTGTATTTTCTGGTACCCTTGTTAATTTGTTCCGTATTTGTGTTTTGTAAATGGATTTCAAAAGTAATAGGTCTATGGCTTGAGAGGGTACAAAGGTGTTCATTAACTGTCCAGTTTTTAATTTTATGGAGTAATGTAGTGGAACATGCAGTTATATCTATAATGCTAGAACGCTCTTTCCCTCTCCTATATACACTAAAAGTTGGTTTTGTGCCTGTATTTAGAATATCCAAACTTAATTCAGCAAATGCCTCCATTATGGTATTTCCTCTCCTATTTTCTGCCTTACAGCCCCACCAGATACTGCTGGCATTTGCGTCTCCTCCTAATATATATTCATCTGCGTCCGTTGTTGCCACTAACCTCTTGATTGTTGCAACATCTTCTTCAATATTTGTCTTCTTGTGTAGATACATGCTTATTATTCCTACTTTAGTTTGACCTAGTCTAATTGTTACTCCTACAATATCTTCACTTATGAAATTAGGATTAACAAAAATGTTTACATTCTGATCCATGATGACAATTGCCGATCTTATTGGTTTAGACATTTCGTTATAAATTTTTTGTATCTCGACTCGACATTGAGATAGTTATATTATACTAATATAGGGCTCTTGCATCAATATTATAGCATAACCAAGGGTCGAAGCCATGCGCAAACACTCTTGTGTTGCTGCACGTCCTCGATCCAAATTGTATTGGATTACTTTTATGGGATTAAAGTGCTTAGCTGTATTTTGTACTTGCTCGCCTTTTACTTAACAGCTGTAGGTGACCGATGCCCTAGCTATTTTGTCCCACTTAGACCATTCAGGACATTCATGGCTATAAGCTGGATGTGGTGAAGTTGTTTTTTGCGAGTCAGTTATGGAACACTTACAGTATTTTGGTGCCTGATTTATATTCCTGCATTCCCTCGTGTCGTGTGTTTCAGAACAGTAGCCGCAACGTTGCTCGTTCTTACAGTCTTTAGCCATGTGGTTTGTCCAAGACATCTGTAGCATTGTGTTACAGGCGACTGTGTGGGAACTGTTGCCGGGATATGGTGTGGATGGTTGATTGTTAAGGGCTGTGCAGTCACTTTACTATGACTGTAAAGCCTGTGTGCGGGTAGGGCGTGACCTGTCACCCATGTTTAGCGTCCAAGCGGGCGTAAAACAGGGTTGTGTCATGTCTTCCTGGCTGTTCATACTGTATCTCGACAGCTGTTTACAGAAGCTGAAAAATAGCTGTTTGGGTGTGAAATTGGGTGACATTAAAGTAAATTGTCTGCTGTATGCTGTTGATGCAGTGCTTATTGCACCATTGCAGAACTGCAGGCATTAGTCACGTGTATGAAAGAGGAATGTGAAATTAAAGGTCTCCGTTTGAATGCTAATAAAACTAAGGTTCTGGTATTTGAAAAGGACGAAGAGAGAACGAAATGTGAAATATGGGTAAATCAGGAATGTCTAGAACAGGTAAATGAAATTGTATACTTGGGGAGTGCTTTCAGCCGGGATGGAAGATGTGATTTAGATGTGGATAGGCGTGTCTCTGCCGGAAACAAAGTCAATGGTGCCCTAAATGCATTAGTCAAAAGGCAAGGCGTGGTGAAGAGTGCACGCCTTGCAATACATAACGCAGTGTTGGTACCGACTTTGTTATATGGCAGCGATACCTGGGTATGCCAGAAGAAGCATAAAAGCAAGTTGTATGCAGTGGAGATGCGATCTCTTCGTAAAATGTGTGGCGTTACCATAGCCGATCGAAAGCGAAACGAAGAGATTCGCAATATGGCAGGATTGAAAGATGACCTTATCACAAAAATTGATAGGGGCGTACTCCAATGGTTTGGGCACGTTGAGCGAATGAGTGAAGACCGAATGGTGAAGAAAATATATAGAGCGAAAGTAAATATTAAAAGGTGTCGAGGTAGACCGAGACGAACTTTCGAAGACCATGTGAGCAAATTGCTCGAAGAGGGGAAGGTCAAGAGTACTCGGATACCTAGACGTGCATGTATGAAGAAGTTAATGAACCTGAAAGAAGCGAAAGAGGTATGTAAGGATCGTGACACTTGGCGATCTGTTCTCTCTGGCTACCCCGTTAGGGATTGTGCCTGAAGATACAAGAAAAGAGAAAATAATTGTTATTATTTATTACTAAATTGATTTTGACTCTTAAGGTATTATTATAGTTAGTATAATTAGCACAGTCGATTTTTTATTAAATTATTTGAAACATTTTAAATTTTATTAAATTTTTTTATTGTAATTTATTTAGTGGGATGGCATTTCAATATTACCTAACATATTTATATTTACATATCTATATTATATTATATTTTTATCTTCTAAAAATTCAGAAGTACCATAGTAACACTGGTTTATAAGTAGTAGCTTTAATTTTTTACGAATGGTTTTTCGTCTTTAATGTTTTTTATATATTCGTGTAATTTATTATATACTTTTATAGACATGGCAAATGGGCTGGAGGAATGAGATTTTAGTTTTGAAGTTGGTAGCACTAGTTTGTTTCTCTGTCTAAGACTCCTAGATATGACGTCATATTGTTTGTGTAGGAGCTTGGATTTTTTTGACAAATTTGCATTGTTCCGAAATATAGATATGTAACTTGAAGCATGCGATGTATATCTTTAATTAATTGTGCAATTAGTATCTTTTTTATTCCTATAAAGAGTTCACATTATTTACATTTTAAATGTTGCCAAACTGTAAGCCAGTTTGTCGGCAACGCAACAGTTTATCGTTTCACACTCCTTAATAACAATATCTGGTACTTATAAATACTTAAATTAACACAAAATTAATTAAAGAAACATTCACCACTATGGACACAACGACAGATAATGTTTCCTCAACATGGATTTGAGCTGCGACTTAGTTACGCTTTCGTCGTATATATCCGCTACCTCATTACACAAAGTTGGAGTTATCCATTGCCTTGTACGCCGTCCTAATTAATTTTCAGCCTAGGTATGAGATATTTCCTCCTTTGAGTAATTTGGCGCTTCGACATTATATATGTCCTAGGTTTCTTAAATGTTACCATACCATGCTGTTCTAATATGATGATGGATTTTACTTTCATGTCTATGGGAATTATTTTGCAAATTTTAAGTAACATTTCATAATTTTTATCTAGAGCATTTTTCGTTCTAGGATCAACTAATATCTTTAAGAATCTTATCTGCATAGTCTTTATTTTGGTAACATATATTGGGAGTGCATATGCACCTAAGCCATATCCGATCATTGCGTCTGCTAAGGCATAATACAGCATATAAATGATTTCGCGGTTCACAACATATTTTATATGATTCAGTTTACCTAATACTAATCTAAGCCTGTTACACACTAATTCAACATGCAAGTCCCATGAGAAACTATTATATATAACCAACTCTAAATATTTATAGTTTGTTACACATTGTAGCTTTTCGCAGCGGCAGACTGTATATATTATATATTTTATACGTGGTAGAGCCATGCTTCAGTTATATTAGTAGTATAGTTGTAGCACGAATGGGTCGGCTCGACCGGGCAAGGATCACGCTCTCACAGAATACCACCGTGAAATAGCAGCTTAATGCTGCTGTGCTTCGTATGGTGAGTGTAGAGAACCGGAGACCGTTTTTACTGGAAACGAGCCATTCCATCTTAGTCTTCACAGATGACAACGCATCTGCATTTTGATTTGTAATCGAGGATAGATGTGGATGTCTATGGACCGCAGCAACCACTTACCATCAGGTGGACTGTGTGCTCGTTCATCGTCCTATCCTATAAAAAAACAGCAGAGCTCGACTGGTCAGTGTGCAGACAATCGTAAGTGTGACCCATAAGAGCTATATCTACTGTTTTTCTAGAAATTTGGTTTTATTCTAGTTCATGATAACACCATTGTCGTGGGACCACTTTATTAAATTGTTTAAATCTTGCTGCACTTTTAACTGTATTTGGCTACTATTTATTACATATGTATTCTACAATTCTTGATAACATTTATCATGCTGTTGACGTGCATTATATGTATCGGGCCAAACACTGAGCCAGTCGGTACACCAAATTTTACTTTTCCTATCCTACTATCCACTCCGTTTACACGAACAACATATTTCTATTTGCTAAATATTTTTTAAACCGACTTTTCACTGGACCTCTTATTCCACATTCTAATTTATTATTTTTAAGTTGACGTGTGCTTACTGTTTCTGCATTGTTGCAACAATCGTTGGTGTACTTAAATAAATAAATAAAAATAAATATGCATGGACAATACGGTCAATACCAGCCTGGAAAACATTAAAATTCTTATAAGACATGTGATGTATTTTACAGAGAACGTTCTACCGCCAGTCGAGCCGCCGGTGCTTATGGTGAGCCGTTTCCAAAGGGATAAGATCAAACAGATCCAGACATTTGCCCAGAGACCTTCAACAAAGGCAAGTCAGGTGATAGTCGGCACATGGGACTGCGCTAAGTTGCTGAATGCTATACAGGTAAATTAGTTATAAGATTCAAAGTGATTTCACGTTTTTTTAATAGAATAAGGATGACAAACAACAATATAGTCCACCTGATGGTAACTGGATGTTGTGACCCATAGACACCTACATCAATCTTTGATTAAGAATCAAGATGCAGATGCGTTGTCACCCCTGAGGACAAAGATGGAACGCTTCGTTTCCAGTAAAAGGGTCTCCGGTTCTCTACACTCACCATACGATACTCCCTAGGCGTATTCCCAAAATCGTGGAAGACGGCTTTCGTCCACCCGAACCCTAAAAAAGGCGATTACTCAGATCCGTCAAACTACATGCCTATCGCCATCACCTTCTTGTTCTCCAAAATAATGGAATCAATTACAAACTGCCAGCTCATGTGGTACCTTGAGGATCACCAGCTGATTAGTGATCGCCAATACGGTTTTCGTCGGGGTTGATCAGCTGGTGATCTGGTTTACCTGACTCATCGATGGGCGAAGGCAAGAGTGCTAGGGGGAGGCATTGGCCGTTAGTTTGAACATTGCGAAAGCCTTCGATCGTGTTTGGCACAAAGCGCTTCTTTCGAAGCTCCCTTCCTATTGTTTTCCTATCCAATTGGATCACCAGCTTTCTTGCAGATCGGAGTATCAAGGTCGTTGTAGACGGTGCATGCTCCCATTACAAACCTATTATTGCTGCAATTCCACAAGGCTGCGTGCTATCGCCAACGCTGTTTCTTCTGCATATCCTAATGGTATGTTGCAAACCGGTAACATTCATTGCTATGCGGATGACAGCAGCCGTGCTAATATTTCTCGGGAAAACGTCTCCGGGTACCGGGACAAACTTATTTTTTAAGTCGAGTCTTTGCCGAACAAAGTCTCGGATTGGGGGTGACTAAATCTAGTCCAGTTTAACCCTGAGAAGACACAAGTTTGCTCGTTAACCGCTAGAAAGAACCCCTTTGTCGTATCTCCTCAATTTCAAGACACTCCCCTTGTTGACTCAGCCAGTATCGGAATCCTCGGCGTCGACATATCGAGTGACGTGCAGTTTCGTGGTCACTTGGAAGAGAAGGCCAAATTGGCCTCTAAACAGCTTAGTGTGTCAATCCCCAGAAGACACAAGTTTGCGTGTTTCCGCTAAAAAGAACCCCTTTTGTCGTATCTACTCAGTTTCAAAGCAATACCATTGCTGCCTCAGCTAGCATCGGAGTCCTTGGCGTCGACATATCGAATAGTGTGCAGTTTCTTGGTCACTTAGAGGGGAAGGCCAAATTGTCCTCTAAGAAGTTTGGCGTGCTCAGCAGATCGGAACAGTATTTCATGCCGGCACACCGCCTGCAACTTTATAAGGCGCAGGTTCGCCCTCACATGGAATACTGTTCCCACCTCTGGGCTGGGCCTCCCCAGAGCCAGCTCCGTCCACTTCAACGCATCCAGCGCAGAGCGGCTCGAGTCGTCGACGACCGAGTGCTTGGCGATCGGCTCGATTCACTAGCGCTGCGAAGGGATGTTATATCTCTTTGCATTTTCTTTCGCATCTACCACGGGGAGTGCTCTGGAATTGTTCGGATTAATCCCAGCCGCCAAATTTCATGAACTCACTACGCGGCAGACCTTCCTATACCATCCACACCATCTGGATGCTTGGCGGTCCACCACTGTACGTTTCACTAGGAGTTTTCTTCCGCATACGACCTCTCTGTAGTATAGGCGATTTTTCCGGACCGATACGACCTAGGGACCTTGAAGAAAAGAGCTCACTCCTTTCTAAAAGGCCGGCAACGCACCTGCAATTCCCCTGGTGTTGCAGTGTTCATGGACGGCGGTAGTCACCTAACATCGGGTGAACCGTATGCTCGTTTGCCCCCTCTCCTACACACACATACACACACGCGCGCGCGCGCGTATACAACCAACGATTTAAGCGGATATACCAATAGACCATTTCTTTATTCTCCTCCATTGACTGACAAGAAGCAGTCTGTAGCATACCGGGTTCAGGAAATTGGTAGCTTTTTCACCCCCCCCCCTTGTCTCGGAGAGCATGTAAAGCGCCGACCGAACGTGCCCGAAATTCGTTCAAGAGGACATTATTATTTCTACCTTTATTTTAGTTCCACAACATAAACGTAGGACTTCTAAGTCTCTGACCTAACTGCTACAACACAGCAACACACAACACTATTTCCGTTCATAAACACACAAGCAGCACTGGGGTGATAATCTGACGCCAAACGACCCGATGGCCTTTCATTATCGCTCAGGTCACGCCACGTCAATAAATCAACAAAAAATTACTAATTCTGTCATGAGCACACAATCTATCTCTCTAGTAAGTTTGATAAAAATGCGGATGTGTTATCACCTGAGAGGACTAAGATGGAATGGCCGCGTAACCGCGTTTCCAGTATCTACCCCAACTAGTTTAGTTGCAGCAGATTGTGTGCTTGTTTGTCACACTTTTATTTTATTTTTAAATTGGCTAACCCCGCCCAACTGATGTTTGTTAGATCAATCGATCAATAAGAATATTAGTAGAAGGAATTTCAGGTCTTCCAGCACTTTTATTTATCATTCACTTTTGATCGTCTTGCCTCAAATATTGCTATTTTTTATAAGATATAAAGTCATAAGGGTGACAAACGAGCACACAGTCCACCTGATGGTAAGTGGTTGCTGTAGCCCATAGACGTCTACATCTATCCTTGATTACAAATCAAAATGCAGATGCGTTGTCACCCGCGAGGACTAAGATGGAATGCCTCGTTTCCAGTAAAAACGGTCTCCGGTTCTCTACACTCACCATACGAAACACAGTAGCATTAAGCTACTATTTCACACTGGTATTTTGTGAATATATATAAATAATATTTAATTTATATAAGAAACAGAACATAGGATATAGCAGTGTTGGATGTTGATTGCATCGTTAAAAAAGTGCTATAATATCATTATCCAGGGAGATTATAGGAGATACATTTGTATTGTTTGGACTAAATGCCGCCCGGATATCTTAACCGCTTGTGAGACCGCCTGTTGTCCAGTCCTTTGACGTATTTACAAGTAAAGGCCGTTGTAAAACTTATATCACTTTCCACTTGTGATTGGCAACCTATTTAATTGAAGTTGTATTATTTACAAACAAAGTATTGTTTATTAACATCTATAATCGATTGAGAATTAATATGCAGGTGCGATGTCACCTCTGAGGACTAATATGGAATGCTTCGTGGTCAGGGAAATGGGTCTTCAGTTCCCTACACTCACCATACGAAACATAGTAGCAATATGTTGGTATTCTGTGAGAACGTGGTTCTTCCTCAGTTCCGAACTAATCGTTTAGTAGCTATAATACAACTCCAGCGTGGATCTACCACAAGTTAAAGTCTACTCCCAACAGTGGAATAAAAAAGCGCTATTAAATAAAACATGAAACATAATAATTGGGCTTCGTCCTAGACTCCTTCTATACCGTCTTCACGCATACATCTTGTCGTAATCGTTGCTATCGGCCCATAAATAGCTCACTCTAGAACGTATAACCTTAACCTATACAATAAAATAAAAAAGTATTTTTATTTCATGCATTGCACATTTAACATTTGCTTGTAATAATATATTTTGATAATAACTATATAATAAGTTAAAAAGAAGCCGGGGCAGGTCGCTAGTAATATAAAACTTTATCAACATATTGCTTGCACCGCGAAGGTCATATGCATAGTTGGACCCGGTAGGTGGCGCTGTTGTAGAATCCAGATATTACCCGTGCGAAGCCGGGGCAGGTCGCTAGTAATATAGAACTTTATCAGCATATTGCTTGCACCGCGAAGGTTATATGCATAGTTGGACCCGGTAGGTGGCGCTGTTGTAGAATCCAGATATTACCCGTGCGAAGCCGGGGCAGGCCGCTAGTAATATAAAACTTTATCAACATATTGCTTGCACCGCGAAGGTTATATGCATAGTTGGACCCGGTAGGTGGCGCTGTTGTAGAATCCAGATATTACCCGTGCGAAGCCGGGGCCGGTCGCTAGTAATATAAAACTTTATCAACATATTGCTTGCACCGCGAAGGTTATATGCATGGTTGGACCCAGTAGGTGGCGCTGTTGTAGAATCCAGATATCACCCGTGCGAAGCCGGGGCAGGTCGCTGGTAGTATAGAACTTTATCAGCATATTGCTTGCACCGCGAAGGTTATATGCATAGTTGGACCCGGTAGGTGGCGCTGTTGTAGAATCCAGATATTACCCGTGTGAAGCCGGGACAGATCGCTAGTAATATAAAACTTTATCAATATATTGCTTGCACCGCGAAGGTTATATGCATAGTTTGACCCGGTAGGTGGCGCTGTTGTAGAATCCAGATATTACCCGTGCGAAGCCGGGGCAGGTCGCTAGTAATATAAAACTTTATCAACATATTGCTTGCACCGCGAAGGTTATATGCGTAGTTGGACCCGGTAGGTGGCGCTGTTGTAGAATCCAGATATTACCCGTGCGAAGCCGGGGCCGGTCGCTAGTAATATAAAACTTTATCAACATATTGCTTGCACCGCGAAGGTTATATGCATAGTTGGACCCGGTGGGTGGCGCTGTTGTAGAATCCAGATATTACCCGTGCGAAGCCGGGGCAGGCCGCTAGTAATATAAAACTTTATCAACATATTGCTTGCACCGCGAAGGTTATATGCGTAGTTGGACCCGGTAGGTGGCGCTGTTGTAGAATCCAGATATTACCCGTGCGAAGCCGGGGCCGGTCGCTAGTAATATAAAACTTTATCAACATATTGCTTGCACCGCGAAGGTTATATGCATAGTTGGACCCGGTGGGTGGCGCTGTTGTAGAATCCAGATATTACCCGTGCGAAGCCGGGGCAGGTCGCTAGTAATATAAAACTTTATCAACATATTGCTTGCACCGCGAAGGTTATATGCGTAGTTGGACCCGGTAGGTGGCGCTGTTGTAGAATCCAGATATTACCCGTGCGAAGCCGGGGCAGGCCGC